AAACTTATGCATCTTGTCTCACTGAAATTTTTTACCCTTGGCTAAGTATCAAGTATCTCTCCAACCCCATAAACCCCCAGTTTCTGGTTACCACCATCCTACTCTCTACTTCTATAAGTTCAGCTTTTTTAGATTCCACATATAAGTGAGATCATACAGTATTTGTCTTTTTGTGCCTGGCTTATTTCACATAACACAATGTCCTCCAGGTTCATCCATGTTGTCACAAGTAACAGAATTTCCTTCTTTTTAAAGGCTAAGTTCTATTCCACTGTGTATGTATACCACATTTTCTTTATCCATTCATCTGATAATGAACACCTATGTTGCTTCCATATCTTGGCTATTGTGAATAATGCTGCAATAAACAAGGGAGTGCAAGTATCTCTTTGGCATACTGATTTCAATTCCTTTGAATATATGCTCACAAATGGGATTGCTGGACCTTCTGGTAGTTCTATTTTCAATTTTTTTTTTTTTTTTTGAGACGGAGTCTCACTCTTTTGCCCGGGCTAGAGTGCCGTGGCGTCATCCTAGCTCACAGCAACCTCAAACTCCTGGGCTCGAGCAATCCTACTGCCTCAGCCTCCCGAGTAGCTGAGACTACAGGCATGCGCCACCATGCCCAGCTAATTTTTTCTATATATTTTTAGTTGTCCGATTAATTTCTTTCTATTTTTAGTAGAGACGGGGTCTCGCTCTTGCTCAGGCTGGTTTCGAACTCCTGAGCTCAAACAATCCGCCCGCCTCGGCCTCCCAGAGTGCTAGGATTACAGGCATGAGCCACCATGCCCGGCCCTATTTTAAATTTTTTGAGGTTGTATTAATTTACATTCCCACCAAGAGTGCAAAAGGGTTCCCTTTTCTCCACACCATCATCAACACTTGTTATCTTTTGTCCTTTTTGATAATAGCCATTCTAACAGGTGTGAGTGATAGCTCATTGTGGTTTTAACTTGAATTTCCCTGATGATTAGAGATGAGCATTTTTTCATATATCTGTTGGCCATTCCTATGTCTTCTTTTGAGAAATGTCTATTTAGGTCCTTCGCCCATTTTAAAATTGAGTTCTTTGTTTTCTTGCTATTGAGTTTTTTCAGTCCCATATGTTTTTGGATATTAATCCCTTATTAGATGTTTGGTTTGGAAAAATTTTCTCCCAATCCTTGGTTTGTCTCTTCACTCTACTGATTGTTTCCGTTGCTATGCAAAAGCTTTTTAGGTTGATGCAACCCCATTTGTCTATTTTTGCTTTTGTGGTCATATCCAAGAAAGCTTTGCCTAGACCAATGTCTTGGAGTATTTTTACTGTTTCCTTCTACTAGTTTCACAGTGTCAAGTCTTCTGTTTAAGTCTTTAATCCATTTGGAGTTGATCAGCCACTGGTGATTAACTCGATCTCCAGCCCCTATCTCCTCCTCAGAAGTGGGGAGGGAGAGATTGAGGGGTTGGGGTTTAAAGTTCTAATCCTCTAATAACATGGTAGGTTCCCCTAGGTCCCAGCCCCTAGCCTGAATCTATCTAGGGACTTCCAGCCACCAATCATCTCATTAACATAAACTCAGGTCTGGTTGAAAGTAGCTTGTTATGTATAACAAAAGGCACTCCTATCATCCCTATCACTCAGGGAATTACAAGGGTTTTAGGAGCTCTGTGCCAGGAACTGAGCACAAAGACCAAATACATATTTCTTACTATATCATAATATCACAAGCGCAGATGTGTTCTTATGTCTTTCTTACTGTATATTAACAAGTTTATGATGTCAATATGTCTGATGAATGATAATGTTAACCTTTATCACTTGGTTAGGTGGTGTCTACCAGGTTTCTCCTCTGTAAAATTACTATCTTTACCTGTATAGTTAATAAACATCTTGGGGAAATACTTTAAGACTATTTAAATACCCTGATTTTTCTCAAACTCATTAATTTTAGCATCATTGGTGTATCTTGTTTGCAGCAATTATTAATGTGGTGTTTGCCTAATGGTGATTTTCTATTTCCCTCTTCCTTACTAATGTTATTAGATTTTTTTCTGTAAGGAAAAGCCATTCCTTATTTCCTATTCATTTATTTATTAGATTATTTATTTATATCCTCATAGACTCATGGATATTTATTTTATTCTATGAGTTAAAAATCTAATACTTGCATTATTTATTTTATTGCATAAATTCTTTTGGCTTTGGCCATTAGGAGACTCCTGTATTACTCCAACTAACCTCTATCCTTTTTTAAGCACTTTTTCATTTCCTTACATCATAAGATGTTTCAGGCTCTTGTATTTTCCCTACCGAGTCCTGGAATCAACCGTTTCTCCAAGCAATCCTGGTTCCTTTTATAGGAGAATAGTGTTTAGAAACAAAGATCTGGGTGTTAAGTGTGCTCATTGCTACTGGGGTATCCTTGCTTTTATGCCCTCTAAGCAGACAGAGCTAAGAAATATATATGTATGCATATTAATCATGCCTATACATACATCTACTGTATCTATGTGTTTATATATATATTAAATACCATGAGCTCATACTGATACTTCTGATTCCAATCTAATACCACAGGGTTCATTTTAGTCATCCCTCTTTCCTTATTGGTAACTTCCTTCCTTCTTCAACAGTGAAAAATTGGTAGCTCTCTTTACCTACAATATATTTACTTATTTCTTCAATTGCGGTATACACATAAAGTAGTTTCAGAATTGTAAACTCACGCTCCTGTGAGAAACACATTTACTAACTTGATTACAGCATTTAAGTAGAATTATTTTTGTTTTTAGCTTTACAGTGCCTAGTCAAGTTACTGTTTTCTAAAGTTATTTAGGTTAGTTCTTTTCTTCCCCACCTTCTTCAGTGTGGTTATGTCATCCATTTGTAATACAGTTAGGTTCATTTGTTAGTGTTTATAGTCACTCTTTTTTATTTTTATTGTATGTATTCTAGGGTGGCTTCTCCCATTGCTATGGTTTCACTGATCATCTTTTCTGAGCTACAGAAACACATACAAACCCAACCACCCTGCTGGACATCCCTAGGTAGAAGTCCCTCATATTTCTCAAGTCTAACATTAATCTTTTGTCTTATACATGTTGCAAGTATTCAATTCTCTCATTCATTTTTAGCCCTTTGTTCTTTTTTTAAATACAGAAATTCTAAATTTTGCCATTGTAAAGAAAAATAAAAAATCTCAGACCGTCCCCCCCCCCCACAACTCCTTATGCAAAACAGAAGGTCAAGCCTGGAGGCTGAGTATTGCAACATCCAATTCCAAATGAATAGCAGTTACCAACATTTTGAATCAGCCAGATCCTCACAGAAAGGTAAAAGGCCTCAGACATCCACAAGGACTGCCCCCACAGATCATTCCTAAAGAAACTCCTAGCTGGCCTCCCATAAGCAAGGACATGCAAATTGTAACTCTGGGTCCACAAGCTAAGTCTAGCTCCTGAAACTAAAGTCTGTTAGATTCCACACTAATAAGTTGATTACAAGTTTATATTCCAAGGTGCAGAACAAAGATAAAACAAGATCAATCATTCCTCCACCTACCCAAGGACATTGACATAATTGATTCTTCCTTCTTCTCTTCAAACATTCATCTTATCTTACGTAAAATGTAGATTTCCTGAGCCTCACAAGAATATAACCATTTTGCCTTGCTGCCCACCCCTCTCCTCCTTTTTCCTTTCTGTGTGCTCTGTCCCCTTTCAATACTGAAGTTCCCAAATCCCCCTTTGAAAAAAGTCACAGATGGGTCTGTGACTTTTTTGTGTTTTTCCCAGGCACAGCCTCAAACTTTGGCTTAATAAACCTCCATTGATTGAGATCTTTGCCTTAGCCACCGATTTGGGGTTGTCGATACAATCAAACTAATGTATTTATCCCAGAGGGTTTTGTGTCCTATTTGAATAGTCTGGTGTAGCTGGAGGATAATAAAGTTCAAGGGTGTAAGGCAAAGGAAGATGCAATGTCAAGATCATCAAGTACTTTGAGGATACCACTAAAGAATTAGGACATTATCCTGATGGCAAGAGGGAACTATGTACAAGTCTTCAGCAATAGAGTGACTTTCAACCAATATTAGTCATTTAATAACTATTCACCTACAAAGTGCTAGAATCAAATCTTCCTTTTAAAAAATTATCATTTTTGTACTTTTCTGTATCTTTTATTTCTCACAATTTAGAGTAAGTTAAAACAAATAGATCATTATGTCAAGGGACATAATTAAGGGGGATTTGCTTAAAAAATTTAAATGGAAACAATGATATCAGTGCAGAAACTGTCAGCGCAGGGAAGGAAAACCGTTTAGAAACAGATTACAGTATACACACGGCTCCAAATTATAAGAAAAGTGTCATTGCAATTCAGTGGAAAAGCGATTCAATAGCTAATGGTAAGGCAACTGGGGAAAAAGGCAAATCCTTACCTAACACTTTACCACAAATATAATACCCAATAAAACACAGATAAAATGTAAAAAATATTTTAAAATCTTTAAAAGTATTAGAAGAAAATAAAGGTGAATGTCTGCATAACCTTGAGATGAAGAAAAACTTTCCAAAAAATGACACCTACCGACGTCCATACAAAAATAAACCGCAAAATTTTTTTTTAAGCCCCTGAGTCATTAGAAGATACTAGAGGAAAATGCGTTTTTAATATTGGAATGGGGAAGGCTTTCCAAAATCCAACAGGGACACAGGGTTGAGTGACAAGAACGTCTAGGAGAAGACTTCAGGTGGGCCACTGGGACCCCCGCCCATCCCCCGCCTGGCGCCTCTCCCTCGCGCGCAGCACTCACCAGCCTGACAGACAAAGGGCGCTCCGCGAGGCTCCGCCCCCTGACGACGCCGCCGCCCCGCAGCCGCCGCGCTAGTCCGGACCCAGGCGGGAGAGGGTGCTCAGGGCCCTGATGCCTGAGCCAATGACGCCGGGTGCCTTGGCTCCTGGGGCTGGACCAGCCGCCGGCCAGGCCGGCTCTGACGACAGCCTTCCCGCAATGGCGACCGTGCCGCGCTGGCTTCGGATCCCCGATACGCATGCGCCAGCGACGCCTTGGGCCGACTGCATACCACATTGTCGGGTCTGGTAACTCCCACCGGCTCTCCGAATCTGCTTTTCACAAGAGCTGGGCTGCCCGAAAGGTTCGGGCCTCGGCCCTCAGCCCTCACAGAATGTCCCGATCCTAGAGGGCCCGTCCCGTAGTCCCGCCAATCAGAAATGTTGGACTGCCCTGATCCCGCGCGGGTAGCGCTGCTCCGTCTCCAAGACGACGACCCAAGCCGTCGCTCTCCTCAGCCGTGGAACCGACCCTCCTACTCCCCTCCCCTCTATTATATATTCATGAAACTCATAATGATGATTTAATTATATATATTACGTATGTTGTGTGTGTGCGTGTACTACTAATAAAAAGAAGGGGATTCTTTTTATGGGGATAACATTTTGCTTAATTGGAGTTCGGAATTAGTGTTCTATATCACCAAAATCGTTTCTGAAGGTTCATCTGTTTATGCTAGTTATAATGAGATTTCACGTATTTCATCTTTTAAAACATTTTCAGGTAGATGAGTACTACCAAATGCTGCTATCATCCATGAGCATATGATTTAACTTGAACATATTCATTACTTGGAAGGTATTTATAGAGTTCTGTTATATTCTTCTCTTGATATTTGCATTTTAACATGTCATTATATGGGAGATTAATCACTTGCAAGTAAAGGTTAGGTGGGAACTTCTCAACTACAGAGTTATAAAGATTTTGAAATACAGAGATGTCTTTGCACTTGCATAGAGGTCCAAAAATGCTACCAGAACGATAGTTTGACAAGGAAAATATAGTCACTGCTAATTTTGGATGAGGCTGGGGAATCTCACTTCCTGTTTTAACTTTTGACAGCACTGAAAATACATAAAATATATCATGCAGCTTGACATAACTTGTGCTGCAACAACATTAGTTGTCATGGAAGTGACTTTACTGTAGTATAAGTTGTGGGTTATAAGGGCAGTTTTGCCTTGTAATTTTAGTTTGAATTCATTAAGAAACATTATCAAGTCTGCAGCAAAAGCTAATTTCCCAAACCATTCAATGTTTGATAGGTGGTTGAGGGTGGTTCTGTTACCAAAAAAACTGTGTTCTTTCCCTACTTTATATCAGCTGCAAAGAAAGCTGAAATGACTATCAGGAGCCCCCTGGATGTGTGCCCATCCTTGACCACATCTCCTTTCCTTCTCCCATAGAAATAACCTATATCTTGAATATCAATGTATCGTTGATCATATGTAGTTTGATTCCTAAACTACACAGTTTATTTTTGCCTGCTTTTGAAGTTGATATGAATATAATTTGCATCTTTCCTTGACATTATGTTTTTTAAATTAATCTATATTGATGAGTATGGGAGTGGCTCATTCATTTTTACTGCTGCATGGTAATTATATTGTATCAATATATAACATGGTATTTATTCATTATATTCTTTACAATTTTTAAAAATTTTACTAGACTTAGAGGGTACAAATTAAATTCTGAACATGTATATATTGTATAGTGGTGGATTCTTGGTTTTTTGTGTACCCAACACCTGAGTTCATTCCTCATCCATTCTCAACCTCCCCCTTATGAGTCTCCAATGTCCATTATAACACTCTGTATGCCCCTGTGTAGCCATCCTTTGGCTCCCACTTATAAGTGAGAACATAAGGCATTTATTTTTTTGTTCCTGAGTTACTTCACTTAGGATGATGGCCTCTCATTCCATCCAAGTTGCTGCAAAAGACGTTTCATTTTTTCTTATTGCTGAGTAGTACCACATGGTGTGTGTGTATATATATATCACATTTTCTTAATCTACTCATCAGTTGATGGGTACTTAGGTTGATTCCATATCTTTGTGATTGTGAATTGTGCTACGATAAACATATTCATACAGGCATCTTTTTGATATAATGATTTCTTTTCCTCTAGGTAGATACCAAGTAATGGGATTGCAGGATCAAATTGTAGATCACTTTTAGTTCTTTGAGAAGTCTCCATACTGTTTTCCACAGAGGTTGTACTAATTTGCATTTCCGCCAATAGTGTATAAGTGTTCCCTTTTCACTGCATCTGTTCCAACATGTAGTTTTTTGACTTTATAATAATGGCCCATTCTAATTGAAGTAAGATGGTATCTCACTGTGGTTTTAATTTGAGTTTTCCTGATAATTAGTGACATTGAGCATTTTTCATATGTTTTTTGGCCATTTGTACATTTTTTTTTTTGAAAAATGCCTTTCATATTACTTGCCCACTTTTAAATGGGGTTGTTTGTTCTTTTTCTTGCTGAGTTAAGTTCCTTGTAGATTCTGGATATTAGTCCTTTGTTGGACACATATTTTGAGAATATTTTATTCCATTCTGTAGGTTGTCTATTGACTCTTTCGATTATTTCTTTTGTTGTGCAGAAGCTTTTTAGTTTAATTGAATACCATTTGTCTATTTTTATTTTATTCCCATTTGTCTATTTTTGTTTTATTCTCATTTGTCTATTTTTGTTTTTGTTGCATTTGATTTTGGGGTTTTAGTCATAAATTCTTTGGCTAGGCCAATGTGAAGAAGAGTTTTCCTAGGTTTTCTTCTAGGATTTTTATTGTTTCAGATCTTACATTCAAGTCTTTAATCCACCTTGAGTACATTTTTGTATATGGAGAGACAGAGATCCAGTTTCATTCTTCTACATATGGCTCTCCAATTTTCCCAGCACCATTTGTTGAAAAGAATGTCACTTCCTCAGTGTATGTTCTTGTTGACTTTGTCAAAGATCAGTTGTCTGTAAATATGACTTTATTTCTGGGTCCTCTCTTCTGTTCCATTGATCTGTATGTCTATTTTTATATCAGTACCGTGCTGTTTTGGTTACTGTAGCCTTGCAGTATAATTTGAAGTCAGGGAATATTATGCCTCCAGCTTTGTTCTTTTTCTTAGGATTGCTTTGGCTATTTGGGCTCTTTTTTGGTACATATGAATTTTAGAATTGTTTTTTCTAATTCTATGGAAAAACGACATTGATATTTTGACAGAAATTGTTGAATCTATAGATTGCTTTGGGCAGTATGGTCATTTTAACAATATTGATTCTTCCAATATTTAAGCATGGGATATTTTCCCATTTGTTTGTGTCATCTATGATTTTTTTATCAGTAATTTATAGTTCTCCTGGTACAGATCTTTTACCTCTTTGGTTAAATATATCCTAGGATTTTTTGCAGCTGTTATAAATGGGATTAAGTTCTTGATTTCCTTCTCAGGTTGGCCATTGTTGGTGTATAGAAGTGCTATTGATTTTTATACAATGATTTTATAACCTGATACTTTGCTGAATTCATTTATCAAATCTAGGAGTCTTTTGGAGGAGTCCTTAGGGTTTTCTATGTATGATATTATATAATCAGCAAACAGAGATAAGTTGACTTCCTCTTTCCCAATTGGGATGCCCTATGTTTCATTCTCTTGTCTGATTGCTCCACCTAGGACTTCCAGTACTATGTTGAATACAAGTGGTCAAAGTAGGTATCCTGACCTTGTTCCAGTTCTGAGGAGGAAGCTTTCAGCTTTACCCCATTTAGTATGATGTTGGCTGTGAGTTTGTCATATATGGCTTTTATTATTTTGTTCTATGTTCCTTCTATGCCAGGTTTTTTGAGGGTTTATTTTATTTTCGTGAAGAGTGCTGGATTTTATCAGTTGCTTTTTTCATCATCTATTGAGATGGTTATATGGCTTTTTAAAAATTCTATAATTGTGGTGAAGCATAGTCATTGATTGTGTATGTTGAGCCATCCTTGCATTCCTGGGATGAAACCCACTCGATTGTGGTGAATTATCCTTTTGATGTGCTGCTGGATTCGATTTGCTGGTATTTTATTGAGGATTTTTACATCTATGTTCATAAGAGATATTGGTCTGAAGTTTCCTTTTTTTTTGTTGCATTCTGTCCTGGCTTTGGTATCTAGGTGATACTTGCTTCATAGAATGAGTTAGGGAGGATTCCATTCTTTTCTATCTTTTGGAACAGTTTTGGTAGAATTGTCACCTGTTCTTTATGCAACTGGTAGAATTTGGCTGTGAATCCATCTGATCTGGGGTATTTTTTTGTTGTTGGAATATTTTTTATTACTGATTCAACCTTGCTACTTATTGTTGGTCTACTCAGGAATTCTATTTCTTCCGGATCCAATCTTGGAAGGTTGCATGTTTTCAGGAATTCATCCATTTCTTGTAGGTTTTCTAGTTTATGAGGGCATGGTTGATTATAATAGTTTCTGATGATCATTCGTATTTCTTTCTTATCCATTCTATTAATAATTTCTCCTTTTTCATTTCTGGTAATGTTTATTTAGACCTTTTCTCTTCTTTTCTTGATTAGTCTAGCTAGTAGTTTATCAATTTTGTTTATCTTTTCAAAGAACCAATTTTTTGTTATATTAATACTATATATTTTTGTCTCTATTTCATTTAGGTCTGCTGTGATATTTGTTATTGCTTTTCTTCTACTAACTCTGGGTTTGTGTTTTTCTTGTTTTTTGAAAAGATAAACAAAATTGACAGCCCTCTTGCTAGATTGACAAGGACTAGAAAGGGAAGGAATCTAATAAACTCAATTAGAAATGAAAAAGGAAAGGTCACCACAGACATCACAGAAATACAAAACATTATCTTTGAATACTATAAAAATCTATATGCCCCCAAACTACATAATGTGGAGGAAATAGAGAAATTCTTGGAAATATACAACCTCCCTAAGTTCAACCAGGAGGAAATAGAATTCCTGAACAGACAAATATCAAGCACCAAAATTGGAGCAGCAATTAAAAACCTTCCAACAAGGAAAAGTCCCGGACCAGATGGGTTCACACCCAAATTTTACCAAACCTACAAAGAAGAACTCATACCTATATTGCAGAAATTATTCCACAACATTGAGAAAGATAGTAGTCTCCCCAACTCATTCTACGAAGCCAATATAACCTTGATACCAAAGCCAGGAAAGGACACAACAAAAAAAGAAAACTAGAGAACAATATCCCTCATGAATATGGAT